GGGTGACCCATACTTGGCCACATATCTCTAATGGTTTGAGTCGGTCGGATTCATATAAAACTTTCATATTGCATTTTTCTTCATCTAGGCTAGGGATACTAGGGCTGTTCAATATTGGGCTGTTCGATACTGGGGTATAGATACCCCAGTATCATAGTGTTTCATATCATTCGGATATAAATAATTATTGACATTTTTATAACCTTTTTTAAAACAAAGAGCAACAGAATTTTTTTTTTTACATTTAACCACTGTATTTTTAAATTAAGACAAACATCTATTTTTTTTGTTTTGTTTTAACAGTCAAACACAAAATAAAAATTAAACAAATATCCCATTTCAAATGTTTTATATGCAGATTAAATTGGTTAAACTTTTGGCTTGTTTCCCAAGGACACAAGAGGGCGCAATGAGCAAAATAATGCAGTAGCACATTAAATTGTCATCGCAAGGAAATAACTGTCTATAAAAAAACAAGCACTACGTCTAAATTAACTCGTATAAATCAAATATAATTTTGTAAATTGCATAAATAATTATGAACAAAACAGCATCACGTATTCATGCATTGCTTAATACAAAGAGCCGAATCGCCCATCACACAGATTGCCTTTAAAAACATGAGACGCAGTGAAAAGGAATAAACCTCCACAAATTCGTGACTGTAAACTGTAAACTTTGCATGGCTTTCTATACATCTCTTGTGTGATGCGAGTGCAGCAGTTATATTTGTCCGTCTAGAAAATGTGCTGAATATGCGTTCTGTGTGAATGGCTTTGTTTTCGGTTTTAACCTAATCAAGATCTTCTACGCATTGAGCTAATACATTTCTCTAATATTTTGAATGAATAACGTAGTAGCGGCGCGCAAAACCGTCACTTACATCATCATCACCGCATCACGTGCTCCACTGATGACGCTCCCTGACACACACCTAACATTCGATTGTACTATTTTTGCATTCAAATGCAAATGTTTATTTTTAATTCGACTAATATGCATTTTTTTATTCACGATCTCCTCATCACAGGCAGGCACAGCACTCATGTTCGTGTTTGTGTGTGCTGTCTGCGTCACTCATAGCACGTGCCTATATCGTGCACTATATTGAACATTTTTTATATTGTTATCGAAGAAGGTGTACCGTCAATAAATATCGATACCGTTTTATCGCTCAGGCCTAATTTAGATCATGAAAATGATGTATCAATATTACATACCTTAAAAAACTTGAATAAATAGTAAATACACATTTTCTAACAAAAAGGGCAAAGTAACAAATAGAAAAAAGAAAAATTCACAAATAACTTGTATGGAGATTTTTCCCAGACCTTCTTTTCTCTGTAAATTAAGGGTGCACCGTATTGCTGAAAAACACAATCCCAGATGTCCATATGCACAAAGGCACAGATCCCTAAACAAGGCCATATCTGCAGATGAAACTTTGTTTGTAGAAGCATTTTTAAAATTTGAACTAGCACCGACTACACCACTTTAAGTACGAGAATCTGCAAAAGACACAAAAGTGAAATGCAAAAAACATGGTGACATTCATTTTTATGTAAATATTATAGGCAATATATTGCGTCTCCAAAAATTATTGAGGTCATGTCCATATATTGTGCAATAAGTAGATATATTGATTATTTCGGATAGGCTTAGTGTCAGTTTTAGGTCCGTACATTTGGTCTTAAAGAGACAGCAGCCAATAAATACCCGTTTCTGTCTGCTAATTAAATATCACCACAGCTCTAACAAAGATTAATCTGTATTTAACTTGTGCAGTGGGCACTATTGTGTTATTTTACGCTTATTACATTTCTGTACCTGAATGCTACTGTTACTGACTTTATTTGTAACTGTGTTTTGTTGTATTCATCTATGCTTGTAATTTGTGTAATTGTTCTTGTTTTATTACTAACTTTATTAGTTAAGCTAGTAGTTTTTGCTCTGGTATAGAAGTACTCAAAGTAAGCTTTCCCAAATGTATTTATTTAATTATTTTTTCGATCCGTGACTCAAAATCCGTAATATGATCTGAACCGTGAGTTTTGTGATCTGTTGCACCACTACTTTTTTTTTTTATTGAACAGAGTACTCCTTGAACTGTAGGAAAAAGTAAGAGCAAAGGCCAAAGCTTATATCACTCATCTTCTCTATACACAAACAAGTCTAAGGACTGGGACAGGGTTTGTCACAATATGTCTCACGTAATGACGCCATGCAGTAGAGGCCATGTTTCAAACATGCAGTGATAGCCTACTGTTTATTCTCCAGAGTTATGTAAACGTGTCCAAAAGGGTTAATACTCTATTTAATTTAGTTTCCGGTTTTAACTTTTGGGTTATGAAACGGCTCATACCTTTTCTTGGTAATTTAACACCTTTTTACACGCAGTGCTTAAGGTGTATGGTACGAAACAGTGCAGCATTAGAATGTTACAGAAAGTTGTTTAGCAACAAGCAACCCATTAAAAACTGAAAAAAGTTTGAAAATGTGTTAGACAAAGTGAAAAAGTAACACTATGTTAAGAAGACTTATCTACGACTCATCTAAGAAAACAGATCTATGTTGTAGCATTTCCATATATGGACAAGCAGTTACTGAAACAGGTTACATGCTGTATGGCAATGTTAATGACCTCAAAAATATGAAAAATAACGTATGCAGGGTTTAATGTGAAATATTGAAACATGACTCCACTAGATAAAGAAAAAAAGAGACAAAGTTTATTCATGTTTTACAACATTTTCATGTTATTTTTGTCCTGTCCATCCTTGTCTTTCTAACTCCTCAACTGTTTTGACAGTGTGAGTCACGAGCCTACAACTGTAAAATTGACATGCTTGTTCCAGCCTCCAGCAAAACTATCCAAACTCATTTGACTTTCATTACTAAACAAAAACACTACATCAACAATGAAGGGCATGAGGTTTTAGGTTCCCCTAAAGTGCAACCTAGTTTTCATGAAGCCAGGGTCTGACACTTGCATGCTTGTGCACAATATAACATCTCTTCTCCTACATCTCTTATTCACTCTGTTGCATTTGTTATGTGGCTCGTACTTTTATCAGTTTCAGCTGAATGTATAGATAGCACAATTTATATTTTAGACCTTCAGCATATCAATTCTCACAGTAGTATGATCTGGTGTGATTCAGCCATCACACTTTGAATCTATCATCACCCTCTGAGCCTCTAAAGAAGAGTCACCATGCGCGCAAGATTATTTTTAGCCATGTGTTATTGTTGACAAGATATCTTGTACTTGCTATTAAACTATGCTAAAACCTTCATACAAGCTTACTGTGCTCCTGATCGGAGTAAAACCTACATGAATGAATGGCAGCATTAAAGTCCATCAATGCTCAATTTGAATTTCTGCTGTTGCCTGAGGGTAAAGATATGTAGCTGTGCTCATAATTTGCTTACTTCCACATAACAAAGAAGTTTCAGACAGAGGCAGACAGAGGAAGTGGATAATAAATTAATGACAAGCCATTGCTCCAGCAAATGTTTTTGATCCAGCACAGGTCTGACTGAAGACATGTGACTCATATCAATGTCTAAAGAATGACAAAAATACATGCCTCACATATTCAATCAGAGAGAAAACAAACAGAACCTTTTGTGGTCATGCGTCTGTGATGAAGCATTTTCCACTGCACATGGACAGTCAAGAGAGTGGAAATGATTTAGACGCAGCTGGCCGTGTGTATGTGTAACCTACTCTTGGTTAGTGGTTAGATATCACTCACAAGAAAGAAAGGTTGTTTGTCCAGTCTTAAATCTGTGTTAAATCTTATGTAGCTAGTGGCGCAAAAAACACAGAATATGCATGCTGAGAGCTGAAATGTGAAGATGCGTGTTGTAGCACAGGGTCTGATGTACTCATTCATGTGACCATCTCATGCGAGGAGTCCTCACTCCTTCTTACTCTTTATGAAACTGTTTAAATTGTCTTTAAAGTTAAGTTAATATTTAGAAACGTTAACATATAAAATTGCGGTCTTTTCTGGTAGATGTTGTGGGTCCTCTTTCTGCCACTCTCTATATGATTGGATACATTTGAATTTGTAAATGTAAAAACAAAAGGCTCAGTGACGTGGTGCTCATTTTTGTGTGGGCCAATAAAGTTTCTTAAAATGCATTTAAAACATTCAATTCATTCTTCGCTATGATGTTTTCAAGTTCTTAATTAAAAATCATAAAAAAGAAAAGAAAAGAATATATAAAATATATTATTATAAAAAATAAATATATATATATATATATATATATATATATATATATATGCATACACATATATAATTTATCTTAATTTAAGTCTCACTAATATGCAAATTTTTTGGGGGAAAAAATGGAGAGAGAAATGTTACCTTATGTCATGTGGCATACTTTTTCCATTGTATTTCTAATTTAAAAAATAAACAGTCATGCGATTAAGTTTTAAAATATTAGTGATATTTGTTTTGTTGTCATGTGACAAGAAAAGCTTAAAACACAGAGGACATCATTAGACCCTCATGACTGGAGGTCGTGGTTTTTTTTAACACATATTTTGACCTTTCATAAAAGAAGTCTAATCATACTAATCCTAAAAAACGAAAAATCCTCTTGATTGTGATGTTTCAGACATATTAACAGATTTTTAAAAAATGTGTTAAATTTGTTCAAACAATACTTTCGGCTTGAAAAACGATTTGCTATTTGCATTGCAGCTTTGCATACTGACGTGCCTATTTAAGGTGCAAGAAAAGTATTGTATTTTCGTTGTTTATTTATTTATTTACTTAATGGTTACACCATATGACATTTTGAGTCACTGCATTAAATTAGTGAAAAAAATATAAAAACGTTTTCCAAACGTGAATACAAAGATTACATATCTAAGAACTTGGCACATGTGTTTAAACTAGTGTTTTGTAAGATTCTCAGGTTTATCATGTCAGACATCTGTTCTTGCCTCTTCAATCAAACTCTATGCGACAAGCTCTTACCTTTCCAAACTTCTGATGCTGGACGTACAGTTGTCCCTCCTTAACGTGAGTGTCCATTTTCAAAATACTCTCTCGCTGCACAGCAAGATAAACGATTATTATATACTGTATTTCTCACTCGTTCGACTTTTTCCGATTTCCTACCGCGCGAACTTCCGCTTGGCAAACTTTTACTTCAGGGGCGTTTCGACGGGAATTCATTCAAATTATTCTAGAAGTTAAATTAATGTTTGGATATAGACAGATTATAAAAATGGGTGTGAATCGAGATTTTATGTGGCTTTAGACAGTAAAAATGGCTTTCTGTCAAAGTCCGAGTGTTATTCACTGAAAGTTGACTCTAAGCAGCTGACCGAGTGGTCATGTGACCAAAGAGGAAGCAGCAGGCGAGATGAGCGCAGTGTACGGAGGAGTGGAGGGGTGAGTTTATGGCAAAAACATTGTTATTAAAGCAAATATAATCCATAATTTAATGACATTTTAACATATACACGCTTATTAAAATATCTATATTTAATATGTAAAAGCTTCGCATGCCAGTTGTTTGAGAGAAAGTGTCAGTAGCTTCAAATGAACGAGACTCAATATTCTCTACTTTGACAGCGGTGGGACACACTCTAAAGCAGTGCTGGTTTCTGCTGAGGGACACATCCTCGCTGAGACAGATGGACCATGTACCAATCACTGGGTGAGATCAGAGAACGTGCTTTAATATGTACTTAAGTCAGCTTGTGTGTACTTGAGTGTGTATGTGTATATAGTAACTTTTTTTCTATTTATTTATAGTTGGTTGGTGTTGATAATTGTATTAATGGTATCAATGACATGGTCCAGAGGGCTAAAATCAAGGCAGGGTTGGACCCGGACACACCAGTTTGTTCATTGGTGAGGCGATGCATCAGTCAGTCATCCCCAACACATTCGCCTTCATCGTGTTGCTTTAAAGTTGTATACATTGTGTGTTGAAAGGGTATGTCTTTGAGTGGTGGAGAGCAGAAAGCTGCTATCCAGAAGCTGATTGATGACATGAGGGAGCGATACCCCAAGCTGAGCCAAAGTTATTTTATTACCACCGATGCCATTGGCGCTATGGCCACTGCCAGTGACTATGGTTTGTGCAGTGTTTTTGCAACTGGCAGTAGTAGCTAATGGATTTCAGGACAAAACTGTCATCGTAACCCTTTCTGTCTGTCTTTTTGTCATAGGAGGTATAGTGGTGATATCAGGCACTGGTTCGAACTGTAAGCTGGTCAATCCAGATGGCACACAGGTTGGCTGTGGAGGTTGGGGTCACATGATGGGAGACGAGGGCTCAGGTAACTAGGGCTGGGTTTTGACACAAATTTCACGATTCAATTCGATTCTCATTAACAAGCTTGCAATTCGATTCGATTTGATTATCGATTATTTTGGATATATATCAGGTACAGTACATGCCAAATTTTCTCAAGGAAAAAAAAATCTCTCAACTAATGCTTTAAAATATACATGAGAGTCAGTTGGTACTACATTTGCTATAAAATTGAAGGTTAAAATTGGCTGATTTGTAGGCTATAGACCAATTTAGAGTAGACGTCACAGTTACGTCACTTGCAGCTGCGCGCGCATAGTGGTTGCAGAAAAACACTGGGAACAAGTGGAGGTAAATGGGTAAAATCCATGGGATAAAAGAAAAAAATATTTTTGTGCCTTTTGATGTCAAGATTGGAATGCAAATAATTTTTATAGAATATTGTCGTCATTTGAAGCTAAACGCAGACGTTTAAATGGACATACTATGGATGAAAACTGCTATGATTACTCTACTTTTAAAGCATAAATTCGATTTAAACAATAGGTCTACATAATATTCACATATGCTGTTCATAGGGGACGTATTGTATTAGCCCTACAGTTACAGCATGAAATATTATGTAAACCTTACTATTAACATTTTTACATAACTTTTATTTACTTTATCTCACAATTCGGATTTTTTTTTCTCGCAAATGCAAGTTTATATCTCCTAATTTATAACTTTATAACTCGACTTAACTCAAAAATAGTGAGTTTGTCAAATCTGAGGGGAAAAAAAGCCAGAAGAGCCGAGGGGAAAAGAAAGAATGACGAGTTGTTTTTCCTTATTAGAATTGTGAGATATAATCACGGAATTGTGAGAATAAAGTCAGAATTTTGAAATATAAAATCAAATTTACTTTTTTTATTCTTTTATTCCATGGCTCCATAGACTGCCACTTGAAAACCGTAATTTTCTGCCTTCAGATAGGCTCCGCCCACAAAAACCGTCACCCCTGTTTCGGATCTGTAAGACTATCCCACTCTCTAACGTCAATTTCGTTGAATAACAGTGCTTATCGCTGGGTGACAAGCACTTGTAATATGCGTAGAACATTTTCAAAATGACATCAAATCAATATAATTTATAATCTTTTTAAACGTAACTATTTTGTACCCTATCCGTGAAATTCTCTAGCTGTAAAGGCTATCTCTCCCGGGTTTTCTGCAACCATGATGCGCGCGCATCCTGAATGTTTACAAACCGATAATTGGTCTATACAACTGCAAAAATTACACTTAATGAAGTTTTTTAAATAATAAAGTTACAATTACATAATAATACTTCTACTTCAGTTCGTTTTTTGAAATATAAACATTTAAATGGTGGCTGTCATAAAAACTTGATGGATTTATTCAAACAATTTAAACATTGAAGAACAGTAAAAAATTATATTGAATATGTTAGGCTATATGGCACATATACAGTATCTGACTAATGAGTTTTTGGTCACCGAATAAAGTTTTTTCTGAGGTAAATGTAACGTTACGCGACATTGTTTACAAGCCGTTATATTTTGACGTGTTTGCACGGCTGAAACACTGATTGAGCGATTACATGAGACAGGATACGGATTGTAAAGTTGTACTCTTTCTTTTAACTTCCCTTCGGATGTTTAGTCATGATTATTTTGTGCTTAAACTGGTATTAATGTGGAGGAGATGATTAGCTCATGTGTTCCTCGTGTCTGTTGAACTGAGGCGCTACAGCGATCTGCAGTGTTGCTAGATTGGATATGTCCAAGTATCGTACCAGAAGCTCAAAATTATCGTATTTGGAAGAAAATTATCGTACACGAGTAAAAACGTACAGAATACAGCTATTTATCTACTAGACTAGAACAACAACTTTTTGACACAACCTTCAAATTACCACAATAAATAAAATAACTATGCTAGGGCCCTATGAAATACTTTTTATTTTTTCCCAAATTCCATTTTTTTTTATTCCAAATTTTAAATTTGCATTCTTGTTTTTTTTCCATTATAATTTTTCTGGACTCCTTTTTAAATGGTTAAATTAAATTGTATTAATCAAAAGCACGTCTAATTAAATAATGAAACTTATACAATTCAACATCAAATCTATTAAAAAGTTTAACAAAAATTACGTGTTTAGGGTCTTATGAAATTTTCTATTTTTTCACCTTGTTTATTGTTACCAAATTCTGTGTTTTAATATGTCTAATTATTTGAATGCATAAAAACTACTTTTATTTATAGCCTTATGAGATGTTTTTTTCTTTAGAAATTCTGCATTGTGTATTTTAATTTTTCAGATTATCGATTGAAGGCATAACTCATTAATTAAATTTATATTTTAATGAATGAAAATTAAACACATTACATTTTTTGGCAAGCAAAGGGGATTTACAATTAAAATTAAAACATGGAAGAAATATTGTGATTATTCCTTAATAATTTTAGTAGTAGTAGTTGTACGTACATTCTACTGAACAATAGTAATACATTTCTGGCAGAAACTATATATTTTTAGACTCTCAGAGCAGTTCTGGGGATGTTGTTCGTGTATTTATGTCCTATTTAGTGAGAAGGCAGATGCTGAAATCACCGCGAGCGTCACGCGCACTTCAGTATGTGTGTAGTAAACAAAACTGCGTGACATTCATTCAGACCATAGACTATGATTCAGACAGACACAGAACATGCAGGATTTATATTTAAATAGCCTTTTTGCGGCTTAATATTTACAGATACTAGTCCATATCACGATTTAAGTGTAATGACCTTCCTTTGATTAATTCATCCAATCATTGACAAATTCCGTGACATTCCGTGTTATACAGTAAATTCCGTTGACTGATTCCGCAATTCCATCCGTGTTTTCTGCATCGCGGAAATCATAGGGCCATAGGCGTACCTTGTGGGAAGGTCCAAACTCCACCTCTGAGTCGCTGTCATCAGAATCCTGCATGTTGCCAGATGTTGAGGGTTCCTAGGTGTGCACCAACCCATTTAGAGTGTCTGTAATGAGCCGATTTCATGGCTTTGTTTTGATGAGGTTGACTTTGGAAAAAACACGTTCTGAAATTTCAAATTTATCGTACATTATGGGATTTCTTTCATTATTGATTGTACATCGTACAGAGCTCAAAATTATTGTACAAATACGATAATTATCGTATGTCTGGCAACACTGGCGATCTGTCACTCCACCTTAAACAGCGCCAAAACGGCATTTATTGTTTAAATACTGCAATACAATGGACAGAATTTGAAATCTGAGACTTTGTTTCATATTAAAAGTACTAAAGCGCAATGCTTATTGCGATTAATTGGTTAGGAATTGCCCTTCAATCAATGTTCCGTACATTAACTGAAAACAGGCTAGAATAATCGATTCTTGTGATTTAAGAATCGATATCGTTCCGTAAAAATGAGAATCAATTAATATTGAGATATCAATATTTTTTACCCACCCCTACAGGTAACCATATGGAAAGAGAAACCGATTGACATAACAGCAATGTGATCACACACACCCAGTCTTATCTTAGAAAGATGTTATCTTATCTAACGAATGAATTCCTTGCAAAGGCCCCAACCCCTTACATGTCTCCATCAGCTTCCTAGCTCGTAAATCATTATTTTGTGACCAAAAAATTTGGGTGTGGGTAAGAACCCAGCTCACTAAATATTGGATAACTGATGAAACATGAAAGTGTCCTCCTTGCACAACATCGGTACTAGTATTTCTGAACAACAGCAGAGCAGATATATACATGCATACCTGATCAGACACAAACTCATCCTGTGTTAAGCATCGCCTGCTTGCCTAATGGGTAACCATTGTACTAAAATAAGTGTTCGCCAGCTTGGTAAGATTTCATCGTTTGACAGATTTGGAAAAAGTAATAGGCCTACATATACACAA